AATTATGTTGTATGGATTTGATGATTAGAAATAATATGGGTTAATAGAAATAATGGATTATCTTGTTAATTTAGAGTTTAATGTATATTGTTATTTATATCTGTTGCAAAGAGGATCAGAAGTCAATCTTTTTCTTTTTTCTTCTCTTTTTCTGCACTCATGATCATTACTATTCTTTTTTTCTGATTTTTTTCTTTTTCTTTTTCTTAATATTAGTTCTTGTTAGTTTTTACTGTTCTTATTTTAAAAAAAAGTTTAATAAAGTTATTATAAAAAAATAAAACAACCTTAAAACCTACTTGCTGACTCAGCATACCTGCTCATGTGACCACGTCCGTTCAGACCCATCCTTCACACATATATCCAGTCTGAGTTCAGTGCCTGTTCCACCATGCTTACTATCCATACAGAGATTGGCCACCACATTTCGAATCTGTAAAATTAACAAACCAACTTTAAGCACTGCAACACAGCTTGGAAAATGCTGATTTGGCTGAAAAGGAAGAGAAGAAGGCATTTGTCTTTGTCAATTCAATTCATTACAATATTGATTGTACTAACTACAATATATGTTAGTATTATTAGTGAATGTGCATTGCATTTATACTTTAGGGGATTTTGCATATTGCACAGAGAACATGGATAATTGCCGACAATGAACCTATGAATCAAACATTATTTGTGGAGTGGATAAATTGTACGAGTTAAATTGCTATTGTAATTATGTTTAAAACAAAATACATTTAGGCAGAGAAACCTAATGAAGGAAAATATACAGTACATATCCACTTGAGAATATGATAAATTGTATATGAACTGTAGCATCTTATACATAGGCCACTCCCATGGTACCCCTACTAGTTCAATTATCATCCATGGAACAAATTATTACTTATTATATATTTGATTTATATCTCCTATTCTTGATGAAGGATATGTAAAACTATTCTGTTAATACAAATAATAGCATAAAAACCCCAAGGTCATAATTTAGCACAGAAATCTCCAGCCCACTGGAACTTTTGTGGACATATCTGACATTCTAAGAGTATTTCATGGGTGATAAAAGAAAATGGTTGCTCTAGATTCTTTCTAGAGGTTGTAGCTAATAAACACAGCAGAACTGAATTTGCATTGTCTCTTG